TTTTATACATTTTCGACTCATAAAGTAATTAAACTCAAAAAGTAACATTCTTACTTTTCAAATTGTAGGTGTTTATCTTTGTATTCATGTTGAATTTTTGATGTTCTTACAATAAAATATGTTTTTGTTTTAATTTTTGTGGGAAAGTTTTTCAGGAATCGTATCAATTGGTATCAATGCTCTTGATTCCTACGATATCAACAACTGCTTTGCTTGATACAGGAGTCGGTAGCCTTCAACACTGAACCTTGCGATGCAGTGGCGATTAGAGTTTGCTGAGAAAGCATCTACGAGATTGCGACCTACAGAGGCCCGAAACTTCATCTACGAGATTGCGACCTACAAAGTCGCGATCGGAGCTAGCTGGGTAGGCTTCTTTCGCCTCGTCCCGCCACGCCTTTACACAAAGTCGCGATCGGAGCTAGCTGGGTAGGCTTCTACAAGATTGCGACATACCAAACGCCTTCATGTTTTAATCCCACAATAAAATCGGGGGGATCATGGCGAACTAGTTGGGAAATGATGCTCTTTAATCGCGATTTGCAAGGCATCAACATTGTGATCGCTGCTTGCCGATAGCCACGATACAGTCGTGCACTTGTTGGAAAGAGGTGAATCTCACGATATAGTCACAGTTGTTTAGCTGGAAAGTCTCGTGATACAATCACAATTGAATCGAGAAGCCTACGAAGGGTTCACACACCTCCGTGATCGAAACTTAAGATACATGCGCAGTTGTAATGGTTGCACCTATCCAAAGTCAGACTCGCTAATCCTCCGTACCTCCATCAAAATGACTTCGGAGTAATGGCAACCAATAAAGTAGATGTCTTGGAGAAAAATTTAGAGAAAGAGGCGAGTCAAATCGAATCGAAAATAGATGAATCTGTCTTGGCCATGGGGGCAGTTTGACAGGAGATTCATGACCCTAGAAGAAATAATCAAGAAAATCATAGAGTTCTAGACAAAACCATTTCCACTCGCCGCATAATTGAATGATGGCGTCGGGAACAAATGACAACAGTTGCAACTAAAAAGATTTGAATAGCATCAGGGCAGCACCACTATTTTAGGTGGATTAGGAGCTGCGATATCGAGTGAAGAAACTAGGAATAGACTCGAATGATAGCAGTTGTAAGAAATAGTATGACATTCAGACGACTTGAACAAATGGAAGGAAGCAGGATCAAAGTTGACAGAGATTGAAGAGATGCATAATTCGAAGTATAGAGATTCTGGTGATCGATAAGCTACGTGATACGGAGTTGGTAGAAATTATGGTGATTTGTAGGCTACAGAATGAGCAGAGCTGTCTGGTGATTTATAAGCTACGGGATGAGCAGAGCTATCTGGTGATTTATAGTATGGGATGAGCTGTTTGGTGCTGTGATATACTCTAAGATTAACTAGAAGTCAGGACACCATCCTATTCGGATGCACTGAATGATGTGCACAAGGTGATATTTCATATTCCGAAGGGCCACTAAAAATTTATGATTAAACGAAAATGATTGCCATATGATGACAGATCTTGGGGGCCATACGACTGGATCAAACAACAATTTTTTAACCTTGAGGACAAGGTGTCTTTTTGGGAGGGGAGTAATGTTAGATCGTCACCTATGGACAAATTTGTCTTTTATTTGTTTATGGCAATTTATTCTTGTCATTTATTATTATTTAGTATAAATAGGGTTAATATGTTTAGGGTTAGAGATGCATGTGATTGGGTCTTTGTATCTTAGTATTAGGGTTTGGGAGAGATTACTTAATTCCAGAACTGTAGGTTTTGATAGAGATTAAAATACCTCTTGAATTGTAGGATTCGGGAGAGATTACATATCTCTTGAATTGTAGGTGCTTATTTTTATGCATTCGTGTTGAGTTGTTTGTTGTTCGTGTAATAAAATATTTTGTGCCTGGTGAAAAATTGTCTCCGGTTCCTATAAAAAAACTAGCATTAAGTGTTTTTTGGCATGCACAATGATTGAGATGGGCAAATAAACTTAATGTGGAAGCACTAGGAAGGAAATGGGTAAATTGAAGGTTTGTTAGCAGAAGTAGTGTAAAGTATGTAATTTACACACCCATACTAGAATTTACGAGAATGAATATTTTTGAAGTTGATTTAAATAATTAGGAAATGCAAATATGATGCTATTACTGTTGCTGACTTAAATTAGACAGCAATGAAGGAGGAAGCCGAGTTGGCTAATGCACTTCTGGAAAAACTGCTGGAGCTGCCATCATAATGTGTCTTAGAAAATTTAAATGCTTTTGAGTGACAGTGGTAACTGAAATATATTCTTAGAGATGATTAAAAACCATGAGGAAGTGTTTTCTGAAGGAGAGGAATATCATACGTTTTAATATCAACAAGCCAATAGCATCTAAGATTATGAGTTGCTCACACCAAACTCTTCCGAATCATTTGCAGAGTCACATATATTCTCCATCCTGTGATTCTACAAAGGCGTCAAGTTGAGTCTCTTCCTGTGCAGAGTCTGAAGTGAGCACAACTATGTAAATATCCTGCATATGGTAATTTTTTTTAAACTGGGCATCACTATGATCTAGTTCATTATTGTAATAATTCTCAGAAGATTCAAGCTCAGTGGATTTGATTTAATTTTTTTGAGGGAAGTGACTTTTGGTAGGATTGATCTAATTGGAGTATGGTAGTTATTATCGACATTGGATGAAGTGGAATTTGTGCTTGGATGCTAGTAATTTGGTGAGGAAGGGATCAATTAGCGTTGTCAGAATCTGTGCTAGAATATTCATGTTTTTTATCAACAACAATGATACGCCTTTATCCCACTAAGTGGGGCCGGCCATATGAAAATGTTTTTTATCCATTGCATCCTGTAGAGTGTCATATTTCATTTAATTTTAATAAATTAGGATCAGTTTCTATACAACATTCTCAAGTTTTTTTAGGTCTATCTCTATGTTTCTAAAGTCAAATCTAAACCATCTACTATCTTAAAGGTTTCATTAGATGATTGACATTTAATGTGACCAAACCATCTAAGGCGACACTCTCTAATCTTGTCAGTCACTAGAGCTACTCCAACCCTTTCTCATATATATTCATTTCACATTTTGTCTCTAAGTGTAAAAGCTACTCATCCATGTGAGCATTCTCATCTCCGCAACACTAACTTAATTTTATGCTTTTCTTTTATAGGCCAACATCTTTCTCCATAAATCGTTGGAAGGTTCACCACCATCTTATAAAATTTTCCGTTTAAGTTTAAGCGATACTTTTTTATCTCACAATATTCATGTTTTTGACGAGGGAATGAAACGTTCTTGTTTGCATTGAATGTTACTCTAATTTTGGAAATCGATTTTTTTTTAATGAATAATCCAATTTGGTTATATTATATTTTGAAATATACATAATATTCATCTGCATGATTCACCAGCAAGACACGGGTTTTATACAATGGAGATTGAAGATTGTATTTGTGTGTGAATGCAATTTTCAATTTGGATGTTTAGGTGTTAACTCGGCCATGGTTTTGTTAAATTTCTCATTTCTCAAACTTACCGAGCATATCTTTTATTCTAGTATGCCACGCTTTAAAGGCTACCTTCAGCAAGCAAACAAGGATTAAAGGTCAGTATTTTTTGCAATCAACAGGGGCATTTTGTGGTTATTTCACAGTATAAGCAGCAAAGCTGTAGAAAGACAGCAACAGAGAGCAATAAAGCATCGTTAAAACTTAGTAAAGCAATTTGGATACAACAGCGACTAAGTCAACAGAGAAATATGACTTAAGGCCAGGAAAGACAGCCTGTATTATGGATTGTGGGAAGTCTTTTTGGTTTTGTGAAATGCTTGAATATTAGTTTTCTGTGAGGTTAAATTGGCAGCAAATATGTGGCAATTGTGACAGCTTAAAACCAAGAGTACAACTTTAGTGGGTGGAGGAGAAGATACTGGGAAAAAAAGAAACAAAACTAGTAGGAATCCACATTCACAACTTTTTGGCAATCTGCATATGTGGCTTTCTTAGAAAAAAAATCACGGTAGTCTTAGAAATAAGGGCACAAGTAATGGAGGCTAAAGATCTCAAGTTAGAGGAACTTTTATCTTATTGTAATTATTAATCGTAACTTAACCTAATTCAAGCATGAGAAGCCTTTTGTGTAGAGGTGGGTTTACATTTTTATAATTCTTATATTATAACATTTAGATTGTTGACTCTATAGTGGATTAAAAAAATCATATTCTTTATACCAAAAGAGGCATAAACAGAAGAAAACTTACAGTCAATCTCCTATTTTTAACAGGCCAAACATGTTACAAACACGTTGTTCGGTTCTAGTCTTGAGAACCTATGATAATCCCACATAAAAGTTGCTATAAATTGTGTTTGATTTATTGTTTGGTCCTAGGTTTGGTATTGATATACATATTTTAACTAATACTATAATACTGGAATTGGAAAACATTGTAGATATTAAAGATCTTAGATTTACTGTGATGTGAAACCATATATAATTTGTACTGTTAGGCCTTTCCAGTTGGATTTTTTCTTTGAACCTGTTTTTGCTCGAGCAGTTTCGCCAATTTATCATTCTTGGTTTGCATTTGCCTGGTACTGCTATTTTTCATGAGATGGAAGTACAGAAAATTTCCCCACTTAGTGAGATAAAGGCTTGTTGTTGTTGTTGTATGGAAGTACAGAAAATTTCAAAGTTATTTATTGGTTAAATCTATGTTGATGTTTTCATTGGCATTAATTTTTTCCTACAGAATATATTTTATGTTAATACCTTAATTTTAGCAATCAACAAAGGATCCTTCTCTGCATTTTTTTCTTTTGTTCTCTCCAACTCGATCCACAGGTAAAGTGTTTGCTTCCAATTCATTAACACATCTATTTTGATTGATTATCTGTATCCTTTAAATGTGGTTTGTTTTTTCATCTATATTTGAATTTTAAGCCTTCTTAGATGTGCCCCTCGTTTTTTTTTCTTAAATGCAGAGGCTAAGGTACAGTACCTCATTCTGGGAAAAAATCCTAGAAAATGACAGGATTATTTGCTTAACTGAAGTTTTAGTGGACTAGAATTATTGGTTTTCCGAGCAGTTTAACCCTCAAGCACATGGTCAAGTCTACAAAAATGTGAGCTTTTTGTATACAGCAAAGCCAGAATGCCAGGCTTGCCTTTTGTTGATCATGATGCTGCGTATGTGTTTAACCTGAAATTCAGTATTTGGTTGTTTAACTGTCCTTGAGAGCCTATCTATTGGACGTGTACTCATATTAACACCATTATAAAATCACTTAAGTCAATGAGATGATTATTATTTTTTTTATTCATGTAAAATGATTTGTTAATTTTCTTGATAATGCAGGGCTATTGGTTGCAGTTGTAGCCGTTCTAGGACTGCAGAGCAGATGTGCCGTCAGCAATCAAGGGTTTGTTTAACTGCTGCGGAGGAACTTGCAGCTGAAGAAAGTCTTTCCATCTACTGCAAACCTGTTGAATTCTATAACATCCTTCAACGCAGGGCCATTAGAAAGGTAAATTCCTTACTAGCTTGCTTTTGAAACCAATTTTTTGTCATTCCCATCTCTCTTTGGTTCTTCTACTCTTTGCGTCTGTTTCTTTGAATGTATAGGTTGTTCATAATGATTTCTTGTTCTACAGCCATCATTTTTGCAGAGATGTTTACAGTACAAGATACAAGCTAAACACAAAAGAAGGTAATAGTTTTCTGCAAATTAGAAATCTTATGGATATTGAATACTTCCTTACTACATTAGGTGATAAAGTAATAGTTAATTGGAGTGTATGTGTGGTAGTTGATACATTCATGTTGGATATTCTCTTAAATTCATGTTGGTTGTTCTCTTAACTGTATTTCCATGGTGCCTTTTAGGTATATGTGGAGCAGCGGTTATGCATGCTTACTTTGTTCATCTAGTTTAGAACCGGCTTTTCAACGGGAACAAGTGGAACCGGCTTTTACTAGTTTAGAATAAACTTTAGTTATTACAACTTACGCTTTGGATAGCTGTATGCTTTTTTTTTTTATATCATATTCTTTCAGCTAACAATTTCATTAGATCCTTATAACTCAATTATGTGGATTTGAGTAGTATGCATGGACTTGTGATTATCTTGAACCTACTGATCAAATCTTCATAATTTTTTTAAATAATTTAATCGCCCTTTTGTTAGCCATGTATATTGTTCGGTGCAATTTTTCTATAACTTATTTTACTATAGTTGTTTACCCCAAAAATGAATGTGTTGTGATTAAAAAAAAAAGGGGTTAATTTTTAATCATATGAAATTAGGCATAATTAAAATTTGTCTAATTAGAGGATCCAATTAATGTGGCTAAGTTACATAATTGCAAAATTCATTTTTAACTTTGCCGGATATGGCCTTAAATAACCTAGAGTTAATAAGGATTTTAAGCCTAAATTTATTTTAATCCTTAAATTTAGGCTTGGTAAACTTTTCTAATTAAACCTAAGGCTTCTTAATCTGATAAATTAGTTTATAAAATTTTTTTTTAATTTTGAACTTTTTGGATAATTGATAGCACCTTTAACCATCCAAAATAGTCTAAAAGAAGAGAAAAAGTTTTACGGGTCATATTCTATCAAATCGAACTAGATAACCTCTTGCTCTCTTCTTCCCATTCTTATTTTCAGTTATCCACTTTCTTAACTGAGTTGGAAATCTTTGGTAGGACTTGGTAATTTGCTTATAACACCTCTCCAGTCCAATGAGTTTGGATCTCAAAAGAGTTGCAATATACGCAGTGCAATGCATCAGTGCACTTTACACCTACAAGAGTTGGGAGCTCCGTGCCTTCTAGTTGCGATTATCAAATGGGGCAACACCCTTCAATGAACGCTCATCATTGCTTTCGGTGGCTGTGACCTCTTAACACGACACAAAATTCACCTCCATGTCAGCCATTGCGGCACATCTTGTGCCTTAGGCAATTCTAAGCTTCTTTGATACTGGAACTAGTAAGTGAAATAGCATAAACACTAAGTAAATTTTTATTAATGTTAAAATATGGTTACAACATGACTCGAACAAAAATAACAACACAAACGCAAAAACGATACAAGCAACCATTCATAAATGTATTCCAATGGGTGGTGGAGGTCGGCGAGGTGGGTCAGGAAGGCTAACGGGGGTGGTGACAGCGACAGAATGCTGGTGGTTGCGAGGGTAAGGTGCGGAACTGTAGAGATAGCAAGTGGGAAGGATTTTAGGTGGTCGACAACGGTAGTGGGGTGCATGGAAGGAGCTTGAAGGGAGTTAGTAAGTCGGGCTAGCAGTAATTACCTGTAGGAAGGGGGAATAGTTGAGTGTCAGGGTGGCAGAGGAAGAGTTCGGCAGCTAAGGAGAGGAAAGGAGACGGTTTTGAAAGGAAATATACAATCGCCAGCTTGGAGAGGATACAACCGAAACACCAACAACTCCTCGGATACAACCCACGAGGAGAAAGAGACTCCACATAAGAGATCTAAAACTTAACACACTCAAAATTGACTCCTTACATACCTAGGACAACAATTTATATGCTCAAAGGAAACTTCTACACAAAAGGGATAGGTGGGAAGCTAAGAAGAATCCAGAAATCACTTCTCAGAAAACATCCGGTGCAAATAGCCTAGCTGGATCGCGATTCCCCTCCTTATCGCGGGTTTTCCCGCCTTCGGGAAGCTGCTAGTTCCTGCTCTACTTTGCGTGGTTTTGCGGGGTTCGGCCCGACTTTTTCAAAGAGCCTCCTCTGGGGCGCGGTTCTGCGCCCTATTTCAGGCGCTAATCCAAGCGCCCACGCCCACGTCAATCTTTTAAGGTTGGTGGAGCTTCGACTTTATTGGTCGAAGCTTCCACTTCGTTGTTAGCCACCCTGGATCCCACGGGCGACTGAACTGTCGCCCGAGGTTGTTGAGGGTCTTCCCAAGCTTGGGAGTAGATGTACATGCCTATACCGATGAACCTTTCAAAATTACCCCATGATCGGTTCAAACGAGCATGCAGTGCACGGCGGTGCTGTTGCTGGTACGATGTTGTCCCGACATAATCTTGTTGTATTTGTCCGGTATCGGGGCGTATGTTTCGGCCCTCTTGTGTAGTGTCATCACTAAAACTGGCTCTACTGATGTTGTTCTGCTAAAAAGGGCTCCTGTGATATTGGGATCTACCGAGGGAAATAGGATGATGTGTTTCCTCATACTTGGTGTTGGAATATGTGTTCTTGAATCTATCGTGCTTAGTCCTTTGTTTAAACTGCCACGGTCGTCCCAACAAAAGGTGGTAGACATCCATGAGATTCGTTTCTCACCACACTTGGTCTTGTAGCTGGTCTCTGGGTGAAAATTCTACCAAGCATCTTTGGTTGATACAGACCCGATTCTCTTTCTTCACCCACGTCAGTGAGTACAACTGGGAATGTCCCCAACTCGCGATTTCTAATTTCTCTACCATCCGTGTCGATGTCATGTTTTTGCTGCATCCACCATCAATGACGAGACCGCATACCTTCTGTTCGCTATACAGCAGGTGTAAAAGATTTTATGGCGAAGTCGCTGTGAATCCCTAGTGTCCTTAGCCTGTAGGATCCGTCAAATTACAAGGGTCCCAACTTCATCTGGGAGAAGTTGCACCTCACCTTGTTCATTGGCTTTTTCTTCATCGCTCATTTCTTCTACATGCCTTGATTTGTGAGTGTGACTACCCTGCTCGTGGAGTAATTGGAGGCAATGTGGTCATAGCCGTGGCATCAGTAGCACTTCCTGGCCGACACTGTGTTGGAGGAGTTGCCTTTCTCTTATTTCTTCCCGCTTTCTTCCTTAGTGTCATTCCTCTGTTCGGGCTTACCCGTGTCCTCTGATAGATCGATGTCGGTTGTAGTAATTGTGGGTGATGACCTGCTTGAAAATTGTTGCAGACTCTGCTTTTATTACTTTTCAACTTCAAGGCTTATCTCTGGACATCTCTTAGCGTCCAGTATGGCTGCAGCTGTACCACAATTGCTGATGGTAGGTTTCAGGCCCCCGAGATATCTGACTATTGTATGTTTCTCTGGCTCAGTCAGCTCGCATTTCATTTGCAAGGGGTCGAATTGGGCAGTGAACTGTTCAACTGAAAGGTCCCTCTGCCAAAACCATCTTTTTCAGGTGAGCCGAATTCAACATCATAATTTGAGTCTAATTTAAGGCCTCTTTAATGAGAAAACTCATGGATGTCACATTGTCCCCTTTCATGTGGGTTAATCACCTTGAAATAGGAGATCCACCAAAGTTAGCAATAGATTCAAATTCAAATATTTGACATAGACTACAACTTCATAGCAAATAGTTTGCCATAAACTAAACTTTAAACCAAACTTAGTATACTTAAGGCATCACCCTTATGGGATAAACTTAGATTTTATGCACAAAATTGAATCGATCATACTAATATGCCTTTGAGCTATCGTTAATTTCATTGAATAATGATTAACCATGTTTGTGCCCATGACTCACTCAACTAATTGGTACTACAGGCGTGCATAATTTTGTTGATCTTGTATTTTTCTTGTCACATTTCCTTCTTTCTCTTCCATTAGCTTTCGGTTTCGACCTAGGAGTCATGAAATATGGGGAAATCAAAGTTAATATTCAGTACTTAATACTTATATAGATTAGTATAAGTGATTTTTATGCAAGTATATAGGCAATTATTTAAAAACTAGTATGTGTCGAAACTCTCTAAATTTTTAACTACCTTTTCATTGTTGCGGAAAGCAGAAAAGAAGCACCGCTAAAGTACGTTGGTTACTATGAATAGTGATTTAAATAAGTGAATAGTAAAACTAAACTAATTATAGGTAATTCATTACATTATGAAATAAATTTTCTAAAACCAAATATTCTAATGTATGTATGCATATTTATACATAAAAATAATCCAATAAAATGTAAAATTTTATAAACATACTTATATTTACAGGAAGTGTACATAATTGAGATATAAACTTTGATATTAAATTTTAAACATTTATGGGTATTACATTATCAATTATTTGTAATTGCTTTAAATTTTAAGCGATTCTGTAATGTGCCTCTAGACCATTCAATTAAGTTGTATAACAAGCTTTTTATGAAAAATGAGTTGACCTTAATCTCCAAAAACACATTTTTGACAAAGATTGTCTCCCCTTGGTTTGTAATGGATACCTAAGAGGTTGGAAAAAGACAACTCATGATTGTTAATTAGTTTCCTGGATGTTATGACTCAAAACATTGACATTGATGGATTGACTCACTTAAACATTTGGCATAACAAAATCTTCGGATTTTGATTGGATTCATTCCATTCAATCAATCCTAAATACTAAATTGAATTTAAGAATCCTCATAATTTTGATTACTCTTTCTTGTTTAGGAGGGGTATGTTGGATCTTTATTTATCCATCCGTGAGTTATGCCATACCTATCTTAACATAGAGGAAGAGAGAAGGAAGAGAGATGGCCCAAGAAGAAATCTTGGGGTAGAAAAAGGGAAAAGCCGCTATCAAGCTTAATAAAATGTTAAGAGTTAGGTTTCAATGCCCAAGACGTCATAGGAATATGTGAAAACCCAGTTCTTCACTGTGACCCCCTATTTATAGCTTAGAGTTGATTTAATTGCCACGGGAATGGCTATAGAGTGGGATACATACAAATAAGTATAAAGCAAAATGTACAATAGGTGTATAGCCTAAATAAGAACCCAGACTTGTACTACTAGTATACCATTTTTCTTAAGGAAGCTACATGTGTTGGTGGTGGAAGTCACCGAATAGCTCTCTGGGTTTTGGTGATTTGTTGGGCTGAGTTGGTTCAACGAGTTTAAAGTTATTTTTCAGTGAGTTCCTTATAAGCTTGTTGGATTAGCCTTGCTCGAGTTTGGTTGGGCGGATGAGTTATTTGTGACTTGTCTGGCATGTCTCTTGGATTGGTGAAACCCATTTTGAGCTTGGCTGGCTGCTTTTTTATGAACATGAATTGGCTAGTCTTCAAGATTCCAACTGAGTGAGTTTCGTGCTTAGTTTATTTTGGGTTTACAAGGTAATTAAGTATGGCTGCTTGTTCTATACCTGAGCTCTAAAAAATTATGATATAACATCCAGAAAATCTAGTCAATCAAACAGAGTTTAGCTCAAGAAAGAAATTTTGAGTTGTATTGCATTATGAGGTTTGCGATCAACATGTAAAATTGTCCTAATTGCGACGAGAAGTACTCAAGTTGGTTTATTTTCAAAGAGTCTTATTGAAACTACCGGCACGCTTCTTTATAAAAGTGAAAATTTTGGAACGAGCTTCGTATTTTGATTCCACGGCTTCTAGACTAGTAACTTTCTACGTAATTTGTTTCTTGTTTTTATTGATGCTAATGATTATCATCATGGACATTTGATCAAATCAGGTCAACTAGTTTGTTGACCTTATTAGACTTAGCACTTTTTCAATGAATAAACTCTATGCTTTGTCCATTCGACCTAGGTCCTAAGGCTAAAATGGTAAATGTAATCTCTAGTCTTCTCAAATAATGAACCATTTTCTGTATACTAATATATTGTTGAATGCAGTGATTTATAGAAAATTGAGGTTGTAGGTTCTTTTCTTATACATGTTTCCTTGTATTGTTGCCATTTTCTTTCATGCTCTTGATGTAGTATGAGAAATCTCGTTTCAATTATCCGCCTCGGGTCTTTGTCCATGGAAAGTTTTCATTATTATTTTATGTGCCTTGTCTTTACCATCACTCTTATTTTTTATTTTATAATTTGTTAGGACTAAAATGTTCGTCTTTTATTGTCAATATATTAACCATTCTATCATTGTTATTATGGTTAGATTGTTCAATGGAGCTTTTGGCCACTATTTTGAGCAGTTGGCCATAGGTTACCGCCAACAACTTGTTTGGGTGATATTGCTTTGGGCTTCCAAAGTGGTGTTTAGAGGTTCGGGCATTAGTATAAATGATTGGTGATGTAACGTTTATTTGACTTTGATTATGGCGATCAATTACTTCTTGATTCTCTTAGCTATGAAGCTCTTTCTTTCTCTCTTTATTCGGGCATCCCTTCCCTTGATGCATTTATTTCTCTCTTCTTTTTAATCTTCCTTTTCTCTTTACCTTCTTGATAAATCTCTTCTTCAATTTTTTTCCTTTAACCAATCAAGGTATTACAAGTCCAGTACGAACTTCACATTCATTTTCCATGTTGTCAACTCTTCTATTTGTTTGTTTTCTATAGATGGGTGAGTGGCCTTGTATGGCAGTGTGGTGACAGTCAATTTTCTTGAATGCATAGGGTATTGTCTATTATTTTGTTCCCTTTCGACAAGTACTGCCCAATTTATTTTCAGTGCTTAGACTATTGTAGGTTCATCCTTTATTTTTAAATAATTTTTTTTTTATCAATCTCTTGAACAAATCTAATTTTCTTTGATGCTATGAAGCTGTTGCTCATTTTCTGTCCAAGGTTTATACATTAGCTTAGTGAGTTGGGTACACCTATCAATATCTGTACATTAAATGCTTGAAATGGGTCATGTTGGCTTCGGTGTTCCTAATAAACTAAACAAAGCGCAGGTATTAAGAAAATGAGACAAATTTTATGTTTATGAACATGATTTCATGAAAACTGTGGCATGTTTGTAAATCTTATGTACTCAGAATGTTCATATCATCACACACACACACACTCACAACTCACACATACACGTGTGTTTGTACGTGTGTTTGTGTGTATGAATATGAGCTTGCATAATACACATACACGTATATGCCTACACATACACACACGCAAACAAGCACGCACATACACACACGCAAACAAGCACGCACATGTGCTTGCGTGCATGCTTATGTTGATATGAACTTTATATATGATATATATGCACAAGTTTGTACATATGCTTGTATAACTTTTTTTAAGTATACATACATACCCTTCTTTGGTACTCTGCTTTACTAATATTTACAATAACATGGATCAAGAGGCCCCATTTTTGTTGAGTTTATATTCATGCTTTTTCTATCCATTATAGATACAAGGCACTCTGGATTTGCTGTAAATTTTGAACATTTTGTATTCGCTTCTCTTCTTAACGGATGACTTTTTTTATTTATTTATAGAATCAAAGTAATTATATCACTACCTGGAAATATGAATTCTGAACAACAGCAGCGGAACCTTTTTCCTCTGTATGTGATATTAGTTAGACCTATTGCTAATATTACCATTGGAGAGGTATGATTTGATGATATGCAGTGCATTATGCTAAGCCTTAGTCTCTCTTTCTAACATCTGATTTTCTAAATTTAATCATGTGTTTTTTGGTGGTGTGAGGCAGCATGCGGCAGTTTATGGCGTTTGTCGGTCTCACATATTGTCTTCTTTCTATGAATATGGAAAGAAAGAGACTGAAGCTACTTTTGTCATTCCTGAGATTAAGAAGCTGTCCACTGCCCGTGGTGCTAGTCTGAACATGGTTATTGTCAGCATTGGTATAAACTAAATGGAGCTTATAGATATTAAACTTATATGAATTAACTATGCTGTCCTTCATTTCTCATTAAAATATCTTCCTGTGACTACTGTGTTCTAACTGCTATTTAACTTGCAACGAAATTTTCTAGGGGAAGCTCAAGGTTCTTCTGATGAGAACCATCTGCCAGAAGGTGGTGAGTGCCTTGCTAGTTTTCCAGGTAATGTAATCTGTAATAATGATTGAGTAATACATTCAGTTAGAACTATAACATATTCCTTGCAGAACTTTATGAAATTATAGTTCAGCGCTTCAGACATGATCTTAAGATGACTGTCTACTTAAAAAAGACATATCATGAAGAATGTGTAGTATAGCTTTATATTCACGTGATGATTTGTTTGTATTATTATTGCTTTATGCATTTCTATAATTACAAATAATTAATAAATGTACCATTGTGCGAACTTATTATCTACTTAGGAACAATGATGTTTTAGTTTGGCAATTTACTATTTATTATTTTTGTTTTGTTTATTTATTTATTTATTTTTTTGGGCAAACAAGCATGGTACTATTTTATAAAGAAACAATTACATAAAAGGTGCTCTGACATATGGCAAAGAAGGTACTTTGGAACAATGATGTTTTAACTTGTCAATATTACTATTTTTATTATTCTTGTTTTTTTTTTCTGGCAAAAGAGCATGTTACTATTGTACAAGGAAATAACTACATACAAGGTGCTCTGACATATGGCAAAGAAGAACAGCCACCTTGAGCAAAAAGTAAAGAAAAGGAGGAGGGGAACAATACAGGAGAAGTGACTCAGAAGAAGCACCAAATTTAGCTAAACAATGAGCCGGTTGGTTGCCCTCCCTAAATACATGAAACCATCTAACAGACTTGGTAGCCAGAAGAAATTTAATTCTCTTCACCATGTAGTTAACACACCAAGGGGGGTTGGAAAGGCCAGAGCAGATTTTGAAGAGCAGCACAGCATCCAACTCAAAGTGAAGGATCTGAAAAGGCTAGGAGCAAGCAACAATGACAACAGCAAGGAGGGCAGCAGTCTCAGCTTCTTGATGGGAAGAAATAATAGCAGGCGATGAAAGGAATAAAAAACAGAACTCAGTGTGCTTCGTGGGCACAACACCAATACCTGCTCTAGTCATAACATTTTGATGAATAAAACTGCCATCAATGTTCACCTAGGAGTGTATTGGGCAGCAGCATTGGGGCGCCTTCTGAGAGAGTTTAGGACATCAGCATCTTTGTCTTCAACTTTGAAAACTTTGCCACCTTGATAAGGAAAGCCACAATGTGTAAGTAAGTAGTGCCACTAAGGACCTCCTGGTTCCCATGTTTGCAATTATTTCTAGCCATCCTAACAAACTATGGAGTAATTAGAGGAATCAGCTGGCCAAGAAGAGAGGAATCAACACACTAATTGTGAAGGACTTCTATCAAGGAAGAAGAACCAGAGGGAAGAAAATCATCAGAAAACAATAACTCCAATTTTCTCCATACATCTTTAGTATACCTGCAAAGAAAAAATAAGCGGTTAAGAGATTCCTCCTCTTTTCACAAGTGGCAAATAGAAGGTAGCCTTAGTCAGTTGGGATGCTTGAGTGAAAGGGTGCCATAAGAAAAATGACTGAGAAGGCTTCAAAATGCTGTTCCATATTTTCATTCTCCAAATGGTAGGATCCAAGAATAACAAGGAGGTCCAATTATGCGAGGAATGTCTTTTTTGGCCACATTGAATGGGATTTTAGAGATAGTAGTGGCTGTTATTGGATTCACCAGTTGAGAAAGCTTAGACAAGTCCCATGAACCATCTTCCCAACAATCAACAACTTCAAAATTAATATCTTGAGGGCCAAAGTCGACAAAAATCAAAGAATCACATTCAACCTGTATGTTGTAACACCCCAAACAACCCCCTTGGTAGGGTCAATCGTGGTGCGAAAGATGCTGGCAATTTGGTAGACCAACTTTCATCAACCCTCGTCCTGACTTTTATATCAAGACACAGTGGGTGATGAATTAGTCTAACTATGTCACTGCAATATACCTGATACATTGTATTTTATAATTCATTCATATACATACTCGAAAGCATGAAACTCATATCATCCAAAACATGAAAATTGTAAAGAGCTGCTAAATTCAATATAATAAATGTTTGTATCCAAAACAAATGTACATGCTATCAGAACTATCGTGAAAAAGCTATACAAAGACAAATTTGACTATTTGACCCAGTGCTCGTTGCCTCTACCTTGAAGGCCATAACGAAGGATGAGCAACAATGAAATCAGAGAAATAATTAGGGTAACATGAGATTTTATACATGGAAAAGAAACAATATACATTCTTGTAGAAAACTATACATGTCTACAAATACAAGTAAGAACATGCTAGCATGACACAGAACATGAAAAATGAGCATGTAGTATAAAAATCAAAGCTGCAGTGTAACATATAAGTCGTAAGTATGAAATCAGAAGTAAAATAAAAAAAAATGTTCATAAGCATGTTTATATTGTATAATCATAGCAATGTCATTTCATTGTATTGTCACTTGTTTAATGTATAAGGTTCAACTATTTCCATGTCACCTATAAAACAGAAACATAAATTAAGTGTTGCTGAGATTAGAATGCTTAGGTAGATGAGTGACTTTATACTTAGAGGCAAAATGTTGAACAAATATATCCGTGGAAGGGTTGGAGTAGCTCCGATGACAGACGAGATTAGAGAGAGAGTCACCCAAGATGGTTTAATCATATTAAACTTCAACCATCTAAGGACCCAAATAGGAAAATAGATGTTTTAGATTAAACTTGTGTTAATAGTGGAAGAGGTAGAATTAGAAAGACTTGAGATTGCTGTATAAAATGAACTGAAATTATTAGAATTAAATGAAAATATGACACTCAGTAAGACACAATGGAGAAAAGTGATTCATGTAGCCGACCCTGCTCTATGGGATAAAAGCTTTTGTTGTTGTTTTTTTTACTTACAAGATCATTTTTTAAGTTCTTCGTTGATTCAAATTTCATCCTCGTCTAATTCATTTGTGCATCTGGTATTATTTTGATTGGGTGATTGAGTGTTATCAAAGCGCAATACGCAAAGCGATGCACAAGACTTTATTTTTGCTTCGAAGCCAAAGTGTAGAACAAAGCAATGCTTTTATTAATCAAAGCATCGATATGTTATATAAAATTATTAATGTATAAATACATTCATTAACAAATATGAAATAATGAATATGACTTAATAGTTAATTTAAAATAAAAAATGCGGTATAATATTTAACTTGAAGGCAAATATAAGGGCAAACCTACAAATTAAAATTTCAGACAATTTCTAAAAACTTGTTGTAACAATAATAAACTTAAAAATTACAACAAAACCTACAAACTAATATCTGCACTTTGAAGCGCGCTTTAGGCCCCATTTGAGGCAGCTGCGGAGCATCGATCCGGGGTGCCGTTGCAGATATGTGTCGTTTGGTGCGGTTGGGGGGGGGGGGGGGGGGGGGGGGGAAACGCAAAAAACGG